GGACGTGGTAAATTGTTACTTACACCACCCGTTCTTCCGAGGGTTCACATAAAGTGATGGAATCCCATATCCTCTGTGTTTTCCCGCGCAACATGATGTCGTTTGTTGAAAAGGGGGATGTACTTATATGCTCTGGTGTGCCGTTATCACTCGAGTTGCAGTTTTGTTTTGTTTTTTACTCTTACATATACGGCCGAGAAAAAAAGCGCTGGCTCCCCTTTAGCATGCTTTGCAAACTCACTGTAGCTTATGTGATCCGGCTCACTGTAAACTCACTGTAGCTTATGTGAGTGGCAGCTGGGTCGCTTGGTTGCTGCAGCTTGCTTTGACATGACATTCACGGCAGTGACCAAATGAAAAGGATTTAGAAGTAGCGTATATTTACATAGGGAGCGAAAAAGTAAAATACACCTTTTAAGAGCACCGTTAAACATTTTAGTATATGTGGCAAAGCACGAAGAATATGGTAGCTTGAAGTGTTCGCCAGAGTTGGCTTATCCACAATTAGAGGGGTTATGGGGCGAAGCACAATGCTTGTGTCCTCTTCCCTTCTCAGCAAAGAGACAGAAAAAAAAAAACATGGAGGTTAGCAAAAGGAAAGTGTCCAGCAGGCAGAACACGTCCAGTAAAGGGGCGATTGGGCATTAGGAGTAAAAAGGCGGGTCATAGTTAGTCAGCGCTTCATGCTTACCGAAGGGCGTTTAACAAAACTACAGTAACTTATTAAGGCTGTTATTGCTGAAGAGTTCACGTAGAACACTACATCTCCACGAAGTGAACGGATGCAGACAGTGGCTGAGAATATTCGACTAAGAAAGTGTACTCTCCTTGAAAAAAAAAAAAAAAGTAATTGTTTAAGTTGGCTTCTCCGCATGACGGAGCGTTGTGAGCAGCCCTGCTAAAACATCGATTTCGCTTTAAACGCAAATTACTAGTGAATTAGTATCGAAAAGTACGCATGTTAAGTTACGCCGAGGTGAAATTGGCGTTGACAATCACTATCTAAACAAATGGAGTGATGCATACACACACACACACGTGCACATGCATGCGCGCACGTGCGTTTTGGTCTAAATGTATCGCTCTTGTGAATGTCACTGTCCAGGTATGTTTCACCTCATATTATACTAGCACATGTGCATGTTGTACATGGGCCTATTACACGGTCTACGTAGTGTCACGATAACCGTGTTTGCAAAAATAAGTGATGCGAAGACCCGTCTAACGCGGTTTTCCTGGCGAGTAATTACACTGCAGGGAAGCTCGATACTGGTCACTGTACCATCTTCTTGGTGGTGATTTTTTTTGTCAATTTTTGGTGTACTTCCATCTCGGTTTAAAATGAACAATATTCGAGGGTGTGTTCCGAAGCCAGTACATTTTATGTTTGAGATACAAACTAGAAAGAGTTCTTTGTTCGCAGAGAGAGAGAGAGAGATGGGGTACGAAGAAATGCATGGAGGTTAACTGTGCCATGCTTTGCTGTTGAACCAAAAGTCGTGCGTTTGACCTCAACCACGGTGGTCACGTTGCGTTGGATGAAGAAATGTTAGCGACCCGTGTACACTCCTATGTCAATATGCGTTAAACAACACCGGATGGCTGAACTTTCCTGAGCCTTCAATTATGGCACGCCTTACAACCACATCATGGTATTGGGGCGCAAATCCTCAATTATTATTATTATTATTATTATTATTATTATTAGTAGTAGTAGTAGTAGTAGTAGTAGTAGTAGTAGTAGTAGTATTAACAACACCAATGATAATATCACAACAAAGTTAGTTCCCAACCCATATAAAATTCATGTTTTTGTTTAAACCATGAGTTAGTTCGTTTGTATGTCCCCGAGAATTCGCAAAAGCTGCCAAGAAAGGCCAGAGTTTTAATCATGACAGTTACATGAGCCCATTCCTACCGACATGACGTATGCGCATAGCTTTTGTTATCGTTTAAACCAATGAACACATTCTAGTCGACGCAGTCTTATTAACTCAGACCTTATCGCACGCCACCGATTTCCCGCAGCATGCATGTACCTGCTACTCGAGGAAAAGCATCCCCCGGCATTTTCCTGTTGGCCGCCTTCCTATCGTGGACGCATCGGGAAGGCACTTATGCGACTATATTTCGTTGGGACGCAAGTGAATACAAGTTGCTTCTGTGCTCGACGGAAAAGAATTGCTCACTCGAATAGTTTGCTTGCTACAACAAGTATAGACATAGCACCAACTTACAGCGGTGCTAAGAAAAGTCTCAAGCGCACTATACCTCTGATATGGGCCTACCTTAGTTCACAGGTTTTAATCTTGAACAAGTGTAACGTCATTTTTTTTAGGAGCAAAGAACCTGAGGGTCTCGGCTTGTCAGCGTGTCATATCTTTTGCATGGCATGGTCTCTGCGTATTGTGCATGTCGTCGTCATGGTACACCATACACGGTTGTGCGCCACCAAAAGGGGTGAATTCCATTAATCGCCACTAGTCGATACCATGTATATATTGAGTTAAATGTTCGTCCTTTCCACCTGAAACATTATGCTTTGTTTAGCAGTGATGTTGGAATACCCGAATAAATTTACAATAGTGCCCAAGTTTGTTATCAAACATTGGAGACACAAATGTTTATCACTACGGTCAAGTCCACTGCTTGAAACACTCCTTCTTGAAACATATTTGCAAAGTGAGGATGTGCTGGTGAACCGGTAGTGAGTAAAGCTCTCAAGAGTAAGGATTTTGCAGTGGGCAACCCTGACACACACTGCATGCTTTGTCCCTTACCAGATGCCATGTTAGAGAAGCTTAAACACTCTTCCCTACATGCATGCCCCTTCGCCACAATGTTTTCTCGATTATTCCTCTATATAGAATAACGTTCTGTGAGTGTAGTCGCACTTTCATTTTCCCCCATACGTGGGCGAAGCAGACTATGGTGACACGAAGTAAATTTGTACACGAATTTACTTCGTGTCAACGTTATACCTTGCACTTGTGCACGGTTAGCCTCATCTAGTTATAGTGCTTGGAATGTTTATCCGAGGAAACTACATTAGTACCGAATATTACAACATCCCCGAAAATAAACGTACTCAAATGAGCTATATACGGCGATGAACTTGCCACGTCAGCTATATTCCGAAGCCTGTATACATGATGTTTGAGATGCAAATTCTCACATCAAGCATAAAAAAAAACGGTATTGCAATCTTTTGTGACAAAGAAATTCATTTCTATGCTCACACTGCAAGGGTTGTCTAATGAGATGCAGCCCACAAGAAATGCCTTGGACAGACGTACGTACAAAACAGGACAGACGTACGTACAAAACACGGCATTCAAAACTCCGCGTAAATTACCACGCACTAGGTGTGGCGTGGTAGCTCAGTGGATAAACGTGCCCCTAATGGCGTTGCACGTTACTGCAGACAGTGTCTAGTAACACTATTTAAAATTAGTGGTTTTAGAAGCGAAGCACTACAGGGTCGCAAAATATCCAACCGTTGTCGTCGAGGCTCACCGTCTTCCCTGTAGTCGATGCGCAGGTGCGAAACATCTGCATACAATACCGTCTCGGAGCGTATGTAGTGTGCATATGTTTTCAAGACAAACCCTACTGTGTGTGTGTGTGTGTGTGTGTGTGTGTGTGTGTGTGTGTGTGTGTGTGTGTGTGTGCGTGTGTGTGCGCGCGCGCGCGCGCCTATTCATTTGTTTAACTTTTCTACTTCTCAGCGACTTCATTATAGACATTACAGACCTTAGGATTTAGCTCTGCCCACTCGTAATCATTCGCTTTGTGGAGAAGCTGCGACTTTTTTTTTTATCATATGGTACACTGGGAAAGAATAAGAATTAAGGAAACGGGCGGAAATCAACAGCGAAACAAAAATCACAGGCGAGTGCGTGCCGCTAACGCGCCGATCCAGCTGCAGTCTGCAGATTTTAGGCCGTGTAGCTGTACAGCGGGCAACAAAACGGGATGTGATACTGAGCCGAATAACACGAAAAAAAAAAGCGTTTCAAGCGTTAAACAAAATAAATTCATGATGACGACGCAAAGAAACTGTTGCTCTGAAACTGTTTGCACATTAACGTAGTAAGTCTGTCCGTAATCGATCCACCAGTTGCGGAGAATTACCGACAGTGTTTTCAGTAAGGAGAATAATTTTCCCTCTGCTCGCGTTCGCGCGCTGTCGTCCAGAGTACAATATTTCTCTCATGACGACGGTGAATTATAAGTATTAGCCTCGCTTCGCTGAGATGCCGTGTGAGGTGCACAGAACCGAGAGCAGAAGAAATAAAGAAGTTGGTGTAAAATGGTGTAACGAAAATAGAAATTGCCTGCCATCGATGCATACGTTGTGCCGTACGAATGGTCGCGTTAGTTTTGTATTTATATATATTTCTAATCAGCGTGGCACACTTTAAAAGTCAGCTGTAGTTTGTAGTCATATGCCGTTATCGTTTGCGGTCGTAGCTTCACGTAACACAGGAAAAGCCATGTTTAAAATTTAAAATTAAAAATAGAAAGCAAGAGAGAAATATAAAGGGATGGAAAGAGAAAAAAATAAGAAATGTAAAAATTAACAAGAAAGGGAAGAAAATAATGATGAAAGGAAGAAATAAACATAAATACAGAAAATGCAGAAACAAATCGCAAAAGAGAAAAGAGAGAGAGAGAGAAGGGAAGAAAGAACAAGAGAAACGAGGAAGACTTCCCAGCACTGCACTGACTTTAGGCTTGGCCCGAGTAGTACAAAGCTGCTTTAATTTTTTTTCTCGTATACGCTGTTGCTTTTATCAATGCGAGATTATTGGACGGAGTTGCAGTGACCCGCCTTGTCTTTACTCTGTGAAAAGTCGGTACCTGCGTGAATCTCTCTCGCCCGGGGTTTCATTTCAGCCCACACCTATGCACAGCAAGGTTTAAGGTTCCCTCGAAAGACAGGCAATATGTGATGAACGACTGCTCAATTTTTCGATGAAGAAGCCATCAGACGTGTGTATACGGGTGACGTCATTCTTTATTAAGCACGCATCAAAACAACAAAACGAAACAGAAAATACAACCAAAGTTCACGACACCGAACAGCCGTTGTTTTTCTGTAGCGGGCGCGCATAGCTTGATGCGAGGCGGCTTAGTGGGTGTCGATGACGAGGTGACTCGGCGATTCGGAACCAAACACTCGTGAGCTGTAGCGCCGAGTGCGCCAACCGCGCGAGTTGATGGGAAAGCTTCTGCACTGTATAGGAACGAAAGGAGGGATGCTACACGATATCTCGCTTAAGAGAGTTTAATACGCTCCCCGCAGACGAGAAGCCGTAGTCCAGCGGCTGCAGCTACCAGCTTCCATAGCAAACGCAAAGTAAAACAAGAATGCACGGAAAGCGACGCGCCCATCACAGAGAGCGATTACCCTGTCTGTCACTTCAGGCAGTGGTAACTTTTAATCTCAACGAGGCGGTTTTGTCTACTCGAACAAACTTGGGGGGGGGGGATGCAGTAGGGCAACATTCGGACCAACAGGAATGGGACAAACACTTGCACGACGATGCACAGCAAAAAAAAAAAAGAACACAACAAACAGCACACGAACAAAGCACTGCGACAACAATTAACACAGCCGGAGGGGGTGTCGACAGGGAAAGAGGAAGAAAAATTTACAAACACCGGCTGGGCACGCCACTTGCGAGCCACGACACGAGCGTCGGGACATTCTTTTCCGTTACCGTTACACGTGAAATCATGCACAGGAAGTGGATGGGGTCAAGAAGGGAAGCTCGCTGTAGGCGGCCTAACCCCTCAGGCGGTTGGGCTCGTTGGCGATGGCGGCCTCGGGTCCTGGCAGGGCGCTCGACTGGATGACGACGTCAGCGGGGTTCTTGGACTCGGTGCCCTGCTCGTTGGTGACGATCTCGGCGCGGTAGCCGTTCTCGTCGGCCGTGTAGGTGACTGTACGCGTGCGGCCGTCGGCCAGCGACAGGGTGTAGCGGCCCTGGACCCGTCCGTTGCCGTCGCCGCTCTCTTCGTGCGTGTGCGAGCCCTCGGCGTCTTGGTTGGCGTAGTTGAAGGAGTACGGGATCGGAGGGTAGTTCTCCACCGGCGCGAAGCCCCGCTGTGCGGCCTGCGTTTTGGAGGAAGAAAGTTTACAGACGAAGACCTCCCGCGGTATACGCTTCGCTTCTCGTAGGCGTTCAACTGTGTCGGTGATTCATATTTGTTTTTTTTTTTGAGGAGAGATAGAGCATATGGTACAACCTCACTATCACTAAGTCACATACGACACAAAAGCGGTTTTCTTAAATTTTATTATAAAGATATAGTCGCAACAACTTATTATTGCCAATATTATTTTTGAATAACTTCCTTGTAACTGATAATTTATTATATGCGAAATTGTTATATCGCGGTTTCACTGAATAGCTAGAGGAATGATAATTGCAATGTCCTACCAGGAGAAATGTTCAGTTGCATTGGCAAGTGTTCCTTTCGGCAGTGCTAATGGTGTGAGAAAGACGAGGAAGAATTAAAAAAAAAATCTCTTTTTGAAGAATAGAAACGAGTGCTTTTCAGTTCAGCGCTCGCATTTCTACGTAGATGCATAGTTGATAATCATCATTTTCTGTCGAGTAGAGCGAAACCTCTGTGGAACCCTAGAAGTCTATATAATGTCGTTAACGAAGACGTTAGTCTTGCGCAAGCATGTTCATTGCAATGTTTCAAAAAGTCTTGCTCGCGCTTCAGAAAGACATGTTAAACATACATTCTCGTTCAAGCGCTTTGATAAATAAAATCATGTCTTTTCAGTGCGAAAGACGATGCATAAATCAAGTTCGCTCAGCGAAGCACGGTTTAATTACATGGTAACAAATACCACTGCGTTGCTAGAAGCTCCCTCGTTCAGTCTCTTAAGACACGACTGCTTACATGAGTCGACGCCGTTTTATGTCGCATAACCAATAAAAGCTGCTGTATGATGCCGTCATCGATGCAGTGGCCAGTTTCGTGACTGCTGCATATTCAAGCTGTTCCATATTAATGCGCCTGCGCTGAGCGATACGGTATACCCGAGAACGTTACAAATGGACAGCGTACAACCGGCAGTATTTGCTGTTGACGTAAGCCTTGCGGTTTACTGTCTTTGTTCCTCATGACTCGCTTTGAACTCGCGAACTCTAGGCTACGCAAAACAGCTCGGGAGGCTGCCGAGATTCGTTCTTTAAGATGACGTTCCGGCGACGCGTTAGGTTTCTCTAGTTATAATATATATCTGCAAAATCGAACCGTATCAGTTGCTAACGTGAAGCTTTAAAATATATCATTGTGTACCACATCTTACACGCTAAACACTTTATCGTTTACCGTGGCTTTTTTTTTCTACACGTCTTTGACTCCGACTCTTAAATATTGTGATTACACATCTGTCAAAATATAGGCCCCTCTTTGTACACTTTAGCAAACTCAAGTAAATATTATTCACTTTGGCGTTAAAGAAATATTGAAGGTTAGAGCAGCAACTGGTAGTGAATCAAACGGGAACCAGAAAATGGTCCTTCATGGCTTTCGATTACCACATTTTTCTGGGGGCTCCAGTTTCTGAGAGCGAAGTATACGATCTATCGGGTGTTGAGCAAAGTCCTTGCTAAAGGCTATAACGTTTCGAAATTAGTGCTCAAAGTAGGAAAGTTTCATAGATATGAACATGAACGTGTAACGTCCCGTCGTAACGATAGCGATAGCGCGAGAACAGAACGATGACAAAGGGACAAGAAGGAAAAGAATACGAATGCTTGTCCTTCGTCGTCGTTCTGTTCTCGCACTACATCTACCCTTATGTCATACCAACTAGCCCAAACCGCCGCACTTCTACGCCCAGTCGTAACTTCATCAGACTCTAAATCATATCATTCGTTTTTTCAATCAGTGGAGGTAACGTACATGCTGTCGATTTCGAGCATCGAAAGATATTATCCGACTTTGGCAGTGTTATAACTGAATATAATTGTAGCACCTTTAACTAATGTTTCTGGAATCGCGCATCCACATACTTTACGCTGTTACGCTCATGGGCTTCAGCGGCGTTTTAATTTTATATAGTTTTTTTTGTCACTGTGTTCACTGGAATGTGTCGCTTATTTATGTGTCTATGTTGTGGATTCAATTCAGAGAGAACTTACGGCAACGCAGATGCAGGCCAGGAGGATAACGAACTGAAATGACAAAAAGTGCAGAATTATAAGTGGACACATAATGAAGTTCCAAGTGAAAATGATTTTAAAACGCTAAGGGAACAAGAAGGACAATCACTGACTGACCATAGCTACATAGATACTAAGCAGACATTCTATCTAAGTTTATTTTTTTGTGTGTGTTTGTGGTGTAGGGGGTTGCTACCTTTGAGAAAAGTGTTGGTAGAAAAATTTTCATACTAGTTTCGCGGTGCCTTCGTACGAATAGTATTGACGTCAAATGATACCAGAACAGTGGCAAACATTTGCAACGGTGCCTTGCGTGCCTTCCATTCATCCCTATCGACATGCGCGGGCATCCAGTTTGGCCGCGCTGCGCATATGCGTGCCTATCCATGGTGAATAATGTGCGCCATATGCGCGCCTGTCCATGGCGATGACGCACTGCTGTACTAATACGAATGCCTGCTGCTGTTCGGGTATCATTTGAAGCTGATACGTCGATGTGACGCCATGTATTTTAGAGCTTTTTCTAGTTCGCGCCCTTTAGGTGCCACAGTAAACCGTAAACTGGCCTAGCATGGTTTTCTGGCTACTTTAAATGATGAGGGACTCCTTTCGTTACCAATAAGCGTGCACCCAGATCCCAGTCTACACTGACAGTCTGCGTCGTCACAATTGATTGATGCGGCAACTTCAAAGTAATAGCGACCTCTTCTCCCCACCCATTTCTGTATGATCTTTTCTCGCTTACAAAGTATCATCTCGCCCCGCCGCGGTGGTCTAGTGGCTAAGGTACTTGGCTGCTGACCCGCAGGTCGCGGGATTGATTCTCGCCTGCGGCGGCTGCATTTCCGATGGAGGCGGAAATGTTGTAGGCCAGTGTGCTCAGATTTGGGTGCGCGTTAAAGAACCTCAGGTGGTCGAAATTTCCGGAGCCCTCCACTACGGCGTCTCTTATATTGATATAGTGGTTTTGAGACGTTAAACCCCACATATCAAAGTATCCTCTCACGGTTGAAAAGGCCATGTTACTGTTGCACGAGCGTTGTTTTCTACAGTCTGATACAATACACTATACCAATTCTTCGGAGAACACCTCACTTTGCCTCCACATTTCTTTATATTTTAAAACTTGCAGAAATAGTAGTGAACCACATGCTCACCTAAGAAAGTGGCTCAAGTGAGTACCTAATGTTGAGGACGTGATTTCGCATTAGAAATATGTGGCAGTGAAAGGCGTACACAGTATCGAAACAAGCATGTGTAGCCGTAAAATGTGTTCGAAGGGGGCGTGAGCAACAGCTGTAATAGAGAAGTGTTGATGAAATGTAGAGTAGAGGTGGTCACAAATGTTAGCAAACGACAAGCCTTCGAAGGAAACCTAAAAAGAAAGCAATACATATGTAATTAACTGGCGCAGGTTTACGCTTTGCATCTTAGATAGCTAGACAGTTTGGCAAACGCGACAGTGCGAGATCGCAGAGGACGTGCTAAGGTGAACTGCAACACTTCAGCAAAGTTGAACTGCAACACTTCAGCAATCCCTGGCAAAAGTTTGGAGGCGAGCCGGCGCCCACATGGACAATCACAGAAGCCTGAGTGATGCGGCTGTAATTAATAACGTTTGGAGCAAAACGTTTAGAATGAGTCGCTAAAGAGCGGAGGTCAAGCTATGTGCGGGAGGTCAGCGACAATTAACCCTCCGGTTCAACCTCAAACGAATGGCGGGACAAAGGGAGGCGTAATTAACGGATAGCACCAATCCTGCTGGGTTCGTGACAATAGAAACGCGTGAGCCAATCGCATGGGAGAGGAGGTACGCGTGGACCCTGGCTCCGAAGGTATCCGGCCACACGGTCACGCCAAAAAAAAGTGGGAATTGCGGCGAAGAGCGAGTATTGCGCGGAGAGAAAAAAAAAATCCACGAAGACGTCTCTGAGGCACCCGCGTGTGCAGCAGTGGTCCGCCACACTCACCTTTTGCATGTTGGTGGCGGTTAGTCGGTGGAAGTCCGGACAGACACTGTTGCGGTAGCACTACTGCTTGATGGGAGACGCGAGTCGCGGATGGGTCTCCCAGCACTGGCTCATCTCCGCTCTTATAGCACCCTCAGCCGGTCCAGCGGTTGCCCTTTCCACCGCCAATCAGCTTCCGCTGTCCTACATCGCGCAGCACCTGCGTCGCCGGCCTTAGAGCTGAGCCGCGCAAGCAAACGTTACACGACCGCGTGCAGAGAGCCGCTAACCTTAGGCGTCCCCCCCCCTCCATCCCCCCTCAACGCTTTACCGCAACCACTCTCGCTTCCTTCCTCGCCCGCTGCAGCTTTCTCCAAGAAAAAAAGCCCTTTCTCCGCTTGCTGCTGCAACTCACCCCTGCTCCTCCTCTTCCTTTCGGCGGCGAGCGAAGAAGAAGCGACACACCATTTACTATATACGCGTTTCTTCTTGGGCCGGCCGTCGCAACAGCCGGCGGCTGCCTTCGACGTATTGCTGGCGAGTAGCCGACAAGGCTATAGCCGAGGGCCGCTCCATCATTGACCGTTCAGCGACGCAATCGCCCCCCCCCCTTCCTACCCCCTACGAAACAACCTCCACGTGCCTATCCTTTTTGGCATTCTTGTTTCCCACGCGATCACACGGGGCTTAACTCGATTTTCAAACGCGACGCGGCGACGGCAGTGGAAAGGGAATCGCGGATGGACCCCGGAATGCAAACCAGATCGGAGTCTTCTGCTTCGCTGAGCAGCCAGGGGCGGGTAACCCATCATGTCGCAGCATGGTCAAGGATGCAACCCCGAGAGAGCTAGCAGGGGGAGGAAGCATAATAATATTTACATTATCGGCGATCCGATCCACTCGGCCACGGCTTAGCCTGCCTACCGTACGGCTTACGCTGCTTTCTTTCCTCTATTTAACGAGGCAAATATTTTCATCTGCGCCATGACAACTTTCGGGTTTAATCTTTAAAGTTACTGGCACGCTGGCCTCGGTCCGGAACGGCATAGCGAGTGCGGCCAGCCTGACTTAGGAGCGATAAGGGTCGAACCGATAAGGTTCAAACCGATGAGGGTCGACCTTTAAAAGGTTTATTAAACATATTTCGTCGTAGCTTTTTTGGCTGCTCTCTAACTGTCCCTCCCGTGTCGTTATTGAATTAAGTATGCGAGAGATAGCCCCGTTCAATGCGGGGGAGAGCAAAATATCCAGGACGGTCAGGATTACGATGGTCAATTCATTTGACCGGAATGAACATCTTGGCGTGTAACCTTGCCCCTTACGGAAGTTCCGCAGCATCAGAACCCTTTTCCAACGTTCGTAGCCTCCCACGGAGGTTTAAGAATAAGTCGTCGTGTTCTTGTGTGTCGATCAATTTGATTCTAAGTTTACATTTATCAACACTTCGTGCTCTGTTTAAAATACAGGAACTCTGACGAGAAATTCTGCTGAGCGCCACCAATACCTTAGTAATATACGGGCAATGTACGATGCAGTCCGCTTTTCCACTGCCCCGCTGGATTCTACATTGACTCGATAGGGATGCGATATGGAAAAAGTGTATTCACTTTTTCAAGATCCCTTAGTTGCACCGGTCTCGGGTGATAGAGCATCGTAATAAGGAAAATCTGGCTCTAGTGCAAGTGGGAGATACTGAGCCCGACACTTCACCTGCAGCATGGAAATGATGCGTAGTGCATTGAATTGCCTTAAGCTTCGTTTTTTTTTTTTCCGGCTCCGTCTACTTGCAGCGGCTTTGTGGCAAAATGAAGATCAGCAATCCGCCTCACCACCTTGGCCCTTGATACAAATTTAACTCAGTTTGCGAGGTTCATGCGAAGAATTTTTTAATCCGAAACAAAGTCATAACACAATATAAAGAAAGTCGCGGGTGCATTCGAAGCCGCAAGCACAAAAACTAGACAAATTCACGTACTATAACCATCATCTCCATAGTAGCTGAACGATCGCAGAACCATGTTTTCTCTAGTAAGAAATGTTGGAAACTGTATCGTTCATATAACGACGAATCTACGAAAGCCAGCAGTATCACCTTCTTTTCTATCCCAACGACCATATGCTATCCTCATCTCTAGCGCCGTGACTAAACAACGTTCAGAAGCTTCGCTAACTAATCCACGAATATGCCGGGCTGTCAACTGGAGGACGATGGTAAGATGCCATTGCACATGTCCATTTAACTGCAACAACGTATACTGTGAATGCACTCGTTTAGATGCAATCCGCGTCGTAGTAATTGCGAGGCAGCTTTGCTGTCTGGAAACTGCACGACATTTGACGACCGCAACGGCATCACTTTCAGCAAGGCTGCTTCAATGGCATTGCTTTGACACATTGCGCATATCAATAGGGTATCTATATCCCATCACGCATGTTTATCAGGGGCGTAGAAAGAAATTTTGCTCGGCACTGTGTGTGTGTGTGTGTGTGTGTGTGTGTGTGTGTGTGTGTGTGTGTGTGTGTGTGTGTGTGTGTGTGTGTGTGTGTGTGTGTGTGTGTGTGTGTGTGTGTGTGTGTGTGTGTGTGCGCGCACGCGCGGGGGGGGGGAGGTATTGACACCTTTCTATGTATGTTCGTGCTTGCGTATGCGACCGCGTGTACTAATATATACACGATCAAAATCTGGAAATTTTGGGGGGTTCAGAATGAAACGGCTCACCTGGATACGCCACTAATATAGTTGCTACTATAACTTCCTAATGACTCGTAGGTTCACGAATTACTCAGCGGTCGCAGCACAACTCTGTCTTGTTTGCGGGAAACTAAAATATTTTTGTTGTACCTTTTTTATCTACTATCGCCCCGCCGCGGTGGTGTAGTGGCTATAGGGTACTCGGCTGCTGACCCGCAGGTCGCGGGATCGAATCCCGGCTGCGGCGGCTGCATTTCCGACGGAGGCGGAAATGCTGCAGGCCCGTGTGCTCAGATTTGGGCGCACGTTAAAGAACCCCAGGTGGTCCAAATTTCCGGAGGCCTCCACTATATGGCGTCTCTCACAATCATATGGTGGTTTTGGGACGTCCAATCCTACATATCAATCAATTATCTACAACGTATCGAAGGTATGCTGGTATCAGCATGAAAGGTTCAAATTTTTGGATATCACCAAGTTCCTGTTTGATGCAAGAAAATGTTTTACGTCATTGAACACATGACTCTGTTGGGTGCTATGCTTTACATTGGTCACTTTGTGAAATAGAAAAAATAAATAAAAACGAAGGCGATACAGTTCCTACGCTACGCTTAGCTCCTACGATACAGCCATGAAAAAAACGTCTCTTGTAGCGTCTATGCACGGCATGCTTTCAAGAACAGCGATAGCAGTGAATAACAAGCCTCAGTCGTATGCTCAAATAAGCATAATCAAAGTCCACAATAAGTAACATTGATTCTAAATTGCAGTATCTCTTTGTAATTCTAAATTTTAGAAGATTAGAAAAACCTGACGCGTATTCTGCGGTTGCATCACTGAGTGTGTCGCAAGGGGCAGTGCGTGGTTTTCTCATTCGCATTCAGGTAAAATGCAATGCGTCTCCGTAGCGCAATACGCAGACGTGCGTGGGACTCGTCCCTTCCGTGGCTGTAGAGCCACTTTTATTTAATGTTTTTTTTTGTTGTTGTGACGCATTCTGACCTTTGTTAACGCGGGTGGGTGCCGCCTCGCAATGCGCAGTATGCAAATTCTTACTCCTGGCGTGAGCGGACGTAAGAATGCCGCTGTTGAGTCACTGCAGGGCTTGAACCGAAACAAAGGCCTCGTTTACAGAATAACCTTCCGCCTCGCTTTCTACTTGTTCAGTTATCATCTAACCTCATCGTGTTACAACCGATATGACGAAGCTGAAGATGATGATAAGATGTCATGAAGCTTTCTGAAAAATAAAGAAATACAGTTTGGCCTAAGGGTAAAGTAAAGAAAAGTCTGCCATGGGGTTATAGCGATTACAGTACTCGGCTTTTAGCGCGATAGCGTTGAAGAGCTCATTTTACAGAAATTCCGGTGTCGACGTCGTCGTAGCGATCTAAAACTGGTAATCTTGGCCATGGCCAAAAAATAGAAGTATGAAAATCAAATGCATTATAAACATCTTAGGTTTAAGTGAGAATCAAATCGAGGCTTTGATGCGTGCAAATCAGGTGTTCTACCACAGAGCCATACCACTGCTTTAAAATGCTTTCAGTAGTAACTACACTAATGGTATGTAGTGGTAGTAGTGGTACGAGTATTCATTTAATGTTGCGTTGAAGAAGCACATAGTCACACCGGGTGTCAAAAGACGTGAATTGCGCAACAAGAGGGAGTTTTAAAGGCACTCCCATTACAAGAAGTCTATGGACGTGTTTTCACACCTTCAGCAGCAAAAAAGTCAGTTAAGTGAGTGGCTGAGTAGGTTAGCGTTGCCTTATGAACGTGTAGTATGTATTTTATTGATTTGCAAAAGGAAGAATTAAGACGTAGTGAGGCATTTACAACTGTATTTCAAGTAGGCATTCTTAGATAGCTTAAACAGTCAATATTTCTGCTCGGACGTTCCTTCAGCTGTGACATGGTAAAGACGTAAACGGAGAACAGAGGCTAGGCTAACAATTGAGAAGACGATGCTTACTGGGCCCAATTGCGCTGTCGCACTCGGCACTTGCAGGCGAATCTCAAGTGCCCTCGCAGTTTATTTACCCGCGGTAGTCGCCGGCTCGATTCCGGCTGCGACTACAGCATAAAGATGAAAGCGAAATGCTCGAGCACCGTGTACTCTGTGATGTCAACGCACGTCAAAAAACACCAGATTGTTTCTGAGAAATTTCCGGAGGCTTGCACTACGGTGGGTCTCATAATCACACCGTGAATTTTACAAGCCAAACCCAGGAAATTATTCAAAAAGAGTAAAGTAAGGTTTTATACTCATAAAGCCCGGGCTCCAATTAAGAAGGATATTGAAAGTTATGTTTCGTAATTACATTGGACGAAAGCACTTCAAATTTCTTCATTGCAGCCAGGGAAAAACAGTTTAATGCATGAATGAAGGTATACAGATTCGGTCTGACCTAGAAAGTTTGTGGCTTGCTATTATTCTGCACGCGGGAAAAAAAATGCTTGCAGGCCTCACACATTTTGAGAGTAGGTTATCATAGACATATAAT